CTGGCCTCTCCCCCAGCTCACAGAGGTGCCGCATCCTTGCAGGCACAGCCACGGCAGCACTGGCTCAGGAGCCCCTGTTTGCATTGCACAGAGCAGGCGGGAGCACCCCCATGCTGCTGCTGTGGGGACATGAACCTGAGGGAGCACAAATGCCATCAGCCCCTGGGGCCAGCAAGGGCTGGGGGACACCAGGGAAACCACTCAGCTTTGTCCTGGCCTCTGCAGTCAGCCAGAAACTTTGTTCCCATCAGCTGGGAGTTTCCTGTGCCACTGCAGATGCTGTTGCTCAGAGCCAGGGCTGCCTGGCAGCCACCTCCAAATTGCCCTGAATATTTCCTTGACTTCACCTTTGCTTTCTTTACTCTTCCTGCTACAGATTTCTTCCCATTGCCCACCCGTGTTCTCTCCCCTACAAACAGCCCATCCCTGTTTTCCCTTTCCTCTCTGGCCCCACTCCCCATTGCAGTTCCTGACTTGGCACCATGGGAACGTCCCTTGGGTAGCAGGATCATCCTCCAAGTGCTGCAGGAATTGTCTGCAGGCTCCTGCAGTGCCTGGTGCTGCTCCCTTGCCAGAGGCAGCCCAGGCCAGGGGGGCACATCTGGGCTGCTGTGTCTGCCTGTGGGGCTCCCTGTTCTGGGCAATGAGGAGGAGCTGCAGAGGCTCTGCAGGACTGACAGGATGGGCTTTGGGGCTGGCAGGAGAAGCTGAGGCACCTGGGCTGCTGGAGCTTCTGAAGACCAGGCCCAGGGCTCATCCTGCAACTGCTCCAAGGGTGGTTTCAGAGAATCCCAGAATCAGCAAGGTTGGAAAAGACCTTGGAGATCATCAAGTCCAACCTGTGCCCGGACACTGCCTTGTCTCGCCTGAACCTCCACTTCTCCAGGATAAACAACCCCAGCTCTGTCAGCCCCTCCTCACAGGACTTGTGCTGCAGACCCCTCATCAGCCTTGTTGCCCTTCTCCGGACATGCTCCAGCCCCTCCATGTCCTTCCTAAATTGGGGGGCCCAGAACTGGACACAGCACTTGAGGTGCTGCCCAACCAGTGCTGAGCACAGGGGAAGAATCACTGCCCTGCTCCTGCTGGCCACACCATTCCTGATCCAGGCCAGGAGCCATTTGTCTCTGAATTCTTGAACTGAAGAGCTCAAGTAAGAAGAGGCCTCTGGAGTAGTAAAATTCATCATCAACCTCCAAGTGGCTGGGCTGTGCTAATCAGGACAGACAAGCACTGACTCCCATCCTCCAAACAACTCTCTCAAGGATGCATTTAAAAGGCATTATAATTATTTGTGTACTCTGCGTTGGATGTACTGGAGAAATACCAACAAGATATCCTCAGGAGCTCAAAACAACAAAACTTACTTTACTGGCAAATACAGAAAATCAGAGAAACTTTGTCAAAAGATATAATATGACATTCAATCAACAAAAAAAACACCCACTCCTTAAAGCAATAACTTGGCCCTTTCTACTTCAGAATCTGTAAGCCTGTTCAATATTAATAAATTCAAAATTTGCAAGGGGGAGGGAATTAGAAGAAGATACAGAAAGAAAGACAAAAAGTATTTAGAGAAGCACACACACAGCTACCAACTTCTGTTCAGACAGAAATTCCAAGAGGAGGTAGGGTCAAGATGTGTGCTTGCCTTGTGGTCAACCCTATATTCCCCTTGGTCTTCCTGGGCCCTTCCCCCAGGTGGGACTTGGGCCCATTTGGTCACTCAGGAGCTGGGCTGGGGGCTCCAGAGGTGGCTGTGGAGCATTGCCTGTGCTGTGCCAGGGACTGGCAGCCACTGCTGGGCTGGGATAGAGGCTCTGGGGGGATTGGGGTTCCAGGGCAGGGCAGTGCTGGGGTTGCAGGGCAGGGCAAGGCTGGACCTGCCCCTTCCTGCCCCACACACGAGATGTTTCCAGCCAACAATCTCCTCCAGCCTGTCACAATAGGGAATGTTGGAGGTGAAACTTCAATTTTGGCAATGAGCATCTGGCTGTTAAGGAAAGTTCTTTTCCATAGGCTTGAAAGCCACAGTTCTTGTTTTATTTCTGGTTTGATTGCCTGGATTCTGTTTGGCTTTGTTATTGCTTTTTTTCCCTGGTGCACCTGAAGTGTCCATTCAGGAGCAGAGTGACTCTCGCCGAGGAACTTTTGGTGTTGTCACTTAATATTAAATCTGGTTGTTGCTGATCTCTTGCTGGGGATTTTCTCAGTGCTCTCAAGCCTTTGCTTGTAACAGAGTGAATGAGCCCTGGCCCAGGCTCTGGCCCTGGGGGACACGGGGACACTGCTGGGGGTCCCTGTCCCACCCCCACAGCCCCGGCCCCCGTCCCCATGTCAGCCTCTGGGGTCGATCTCGTGGAACATCCTCTGGGGGAGGCTGCGGCGCTGGGGGCGGGGGGACACGGGGGGACAGGGGTCTGTTGAGAGTCTCTTGTATCATGTGGTGGAAACCCAGGAAAATAATGGCCAGGAGAAGCATGATTTATTGGGAACATCCCTGCACAGCAAATATAACCTTTTGCAAATTATTCCATGCAGCACGCACATGTTTAATTGCTTCTTTTCCTCTTCCTGGTGAAGCAGAGCTGCTTTATTTACTCCAAACAATATTTTTTCCCTCCTCCCTGGTAAAGAACAAGCTCCCATCCTGGCAAGTGCTCCTGGCTTTACTTAAGGCTCATCACATCCATGCCAAGGAGAGTGGAGCAGGTTAATTCATCACTTGTTCCAATGATTAACTTGCCCAGCTGCCAGGTTCAAGAGCCCCAGAGTGCCTCAGGTTATAGAGGATCACAGAAGGAAAAGCTCCATTGAATTCAGCTGCTGCCACACTGGCCCTCTTTGCCTGTCAAACACATTCAGCTGCTCTTGCTCTGCCCTGTGAAATTCCCCCATAAAATACAAGTGAAAGTCCCTCATCACCTGTGAGAAAGCACAGCTGGGTTCTGCTCAGGGCATTTCAAACTACGTGGGGTAGTTGTGACCTCCCATTGCAAAGACAGCATGTCTGGAAAACCAAAAGTTTCTTTTCATGGACTTACCAGACTCAGGACACCTTCCCCTCGATCAGGTTGCTCCAAGCCCCATCCAACCTGGCCTTGAACACTTCCAAGGACAACACAACCACAGCTTCTCTGGAACCTGTTTTGCTCGTCCCAGCTCTAAAATCGCACCCAACTTAGCAGCCTCAGAGATAGATTTCTATTCAGGAGCTGCATTTTTCTGGGAAAGAAATATGGCAAACCTTGTTTGCATCTGACTTTGCAAAATCAACACAAGCTCTTCAGAAAGAGCTGCTGCCCGCTTTTCTTCTTTTTCCCCATTTGCTGGAACATTTTCATTCTGTTGTTGTTTGGAGCAGTATTTTATTAAATCGGGCTGAGGCTGCTTACAATAGTAGAGCAAGTTACTTGTGTGAGGGGTGGAAAACTGAGCTCTTGCACACCCAGTGTTTCTGTTGTTGGAAGTCTTCAATCCCACCTCTCTGGTGGCATGAAATAGGTGCTACTCATCCAATTTCTAAAGTATCATGCAACGAGCTGACACTATTTTAAGGCTTAAAAATAAAGCAAATTTAAAGAAAGCTCTGCTCCTTTCCATGTTCTCTGTTCCACAGTTGATGACAGAAGACAGGAGAGAAAGATTGTTCTGGGAACAATATTTTCAGGACTCTAAAAAGAATATCAAACCTGCTCTGCTGTTACAGCCCTGAAAAGCACTCGTTGTCTTTGCTCACAGAGTCACAATTGTGGTAGGATTTCTACCACAGCACAGGACAGCCGATTTTTGGTTGTTTTCCTGGAAATAACTAGAGCACTTCTGGGTAGCAAAGCAAACATGTGCTTCTTCTAATGGCCCTTGAAACTGGACATGTGAAATGAGGTAGACAAAGCCAAAGGCCAGCTGTCTGAATGGGTCTTCCCATTCTTCCCAGGATGATGAATGGAAATCACTGTTCTGCCAGGGAAAGGGCATCTGCTGGGAATGTGGTGTAGAAAATGTGCTTTCTGCTCCTCTCAGAGCCAAAATTCCTACCCATTTCTCCTAAGTCTTTCTTAGACAAGTACCATGTTCAGCTGAGTGACAGTGAAGCAAAATGGCAATCCAGGAAGAAATTGCCCTGCACACAACATTGCATTCACATGGATGGTTTCTCATTGGCACACAGGAGGAAGTGTCATGGTTTCACCAGGAAGTAAACTTCTGGAAAGTTGTGGTCAAACCAACCAGTGGCCAGATTTGAAAACTGGCACTTGGTGTGGCCACTGGGGACCTGGATACACCTCTGAGAACACACAGGGGTTAAAAGCAGAGGATTCCCAGAGGGACGCTCTCTTTTGAGTCCAGCGGTGAGTTGATCTGAGCTCTCCCCTGCCCAGCTGCTTCTGGGTGGGGCAGGGGAGGCCATGTGGCCTGTGGGGAGGGAGGCCGGAGTTCTGCAAGGTGCAGGGTGGAGGAGATCTGGGATGTTTGGGCAGAGAGTGATAGAGACTGTGCTGGCTTGAAATTTGATATGTTGTGCTGTCACCATGGCCGGGAGAAGAAGTGGGGGGGGGGGGGGGACGGGGGAGGCGGTTGGCCAGAAACCAAGAGTGACAAAACCATTATGAGAAGTAGAGGGAACAGAGACTGATGGGGAGGGTGTGGTGAAGCCCTCTGCCTTCAGCAAAAGATCTCTGTTCCTTAAACCCCTAAGCCCCAGAGAAGTAAATATACAGAGGACAGGTGTCCCAAATGGTGAGAGACGGCCACTTCTTAAAACTAAACAGGGCATTCTTAAAAAGACCTAAGAAGCAGTTTAGATCCATGGACAGTAGTGAGAGCACTAAACATAGAAGAAAAATAGTCACTACAGCAGATTCTCTTTAAGCAACTGCCATGTGTGACATAGAAGCACAAGAAGTTCCAACTGTGTTTCCTGGGGAGGCCCATAGTGCAAAAAGGAGACTCCTCTCTCCTAGTAAACTGGGGGAGGTTGTGTGAAGGAGGGTATTAAACTAAGAATTGAGTGTTAGAAGAGATTGAGTGTTAGAAGGATGGGGGGAGTAGGAGTGTTTTAGAAGTGTTCCATTGTAGATTGTTGTGTGTGTGGGTTTTTTTCTTTTTTTCCCTTTTGTCTCTATGTCGTAGATTAATAAAGTGTTGTTTTTTTCCCTTCCATTTCCAGGTTGAAGCCTGCTTTGTTCTGTTTCTGAGTCACATCTCACTGTAACCATTTTAAAAATATACCTTTCATGAGAGCACTGGCATTGTGCCAGAGTCAAACCATAACACCCCTGAATCCTCTTGGTATTACAACACCACTGGTTACTGTAACTATTGGCTTTGGCCTGTTCCATGGTATAGTAAGGCAGCAGAAAAAGCAAAAATGTTGCCCCCAGGAGTCTTCCTTATCTGTGGGGATCATGCTTGGCCTGCCATACATGCAAAAGCACAAGGAGGACCTTGCTACTTTGGTAAGCTGACATTGTTGGCCCCCACTATCCATCAAATGATCAACATAAGTCACAAATTCAAACGCATTAGATGCAGTGTAGAACAATTAGGACCTGAGTGTAAAGACAATGTTGAATTGTGGGAACGACCATCTGTTATTGTAGCTTCACTTTTTTCACCACTTTTTTCACCACAAGTCGCCTCTGCCAAAGCGACTTGTGCCCTCACCCAATTAAGACAATTAGCCTGTTGGACAGGCAAATAAATTAACATTACCTCCAGAGTGTTAGATGAGCTCACCACTGATGTTGACAGTGTACAACATGCTGTATTATAAAATCGAGCAGCCATTGATTTTTTGTTATTAGCACAAGGGCATGGCTGTGAAGATTTTGAGGGAATGTGCTGTATGAATTTTTCTGATCATTCTGAATCCATTCACAAGAAATTTTCCCAGCTGAAAAATAATATGAAGAAACTCACTGTTGTTGAAAATTCTTATGACAAATGGCTCAAAGACTGGGGAGTCATTGGCTGGTTGAAAACCTTATTGATAGAAGGAATTTGCTTTCTTGCTCTTGTTTTTGCAGTGCTTGTTATTCTTTGTTGCATTCTTCCTTGTATGAAAAAGAGTGTAGAATCAATTCTTAAGTGAGCCTGGGTTGTCCAAAAAGAAAAAGGGGCATGTGTAGAAGGATTCTTGGCTGAACAAGGCCATGATATTCTCCTGTGGGAATTGGACAACCCTGGCCCACAGATTACAGAGTTACTCTGAAGATCATGTACCGTCCTTGAACAAGAACAAGATATACCATGTACTGTCCTCGAACAGATACATCAAGGAAGAAGGAGCATTGTGCAAAGATGAAACCAAATGCCAGGCATGTTACGGGAACTGCTAATTTGGCACACCTTAGCTAAAGATGCTTACAGCGTGACAACCAATCAGTAATTAACATGTGTGTGTTAATATAGCTACTTAACCAATGACCATTAAGCATTAGTGGCGTGAGACTGTGTATAGAGAAGGATAAATATGCCAAAGTTGCTTAAGGAGAGGGAACGACATGTAGCCACACTGGTTGTGAGTGTCGTTACTTGGGACTCTCCGAGGGACCCTCTTCAGTCCCTGGGCCTAAGCATGACATGGCACAAGTGCAGGTATGAGGTTGAGAATGGGCACAGACTGTGGGGGGATCAACACCACCACAGAGTCCCAATGCCTCCAACCCATTTCCAGAAAGGTTTAGCAGAATAAACTACACGTGATAATTCATTTTCACAGAAAGTGAGACACTTATCTCCAGGGCAGTGAAAAGTGATCAGTGAAGAGTCCCTCCCACAAAGCCCAGGCGCATTTGTGACCCAGCACCCTGGACAACCCATTGGCTGGATCAATGCTGGAACCAGGACTGGGGATCTCTTTTTCTCTCTCTTTCTTGTTTTCTTTCTCCCTGCTCCTCTTTGATTCATCTCTCTGTCTCTCTGTGTCTCTGCCTCTCTTCCCTTTCACCTTCCCTCTTGTGCCTTTACACAAAATCCACTGACATGGCCATATATAGGTTGCAGACTGCCATAACAATTTGTCTGCCAAATATGTAATTAATTAATAAAGCTTTGTGGGCCTTTGTGGATTCTTTGAGTTCTAATTTTTTTTTCAGCCATGAGCATCTACAAAATGTGGTTGTTTCCTTCCCCTTAAGCTTGGGAGATCACAGAGAAGGGGGGAGGAGAGGCTTGCTGGGCCCCCGATGGTCACACACATTTAACCCGCCAGTGTGGTTTTGCTCAGCTTTTCTCTAGCAGGCAGCATTAACCAGATGAGGCTGCTCAAGGGTTTCCAGCTATTTGGCATCATCCACAAAGGACTTGGAAGTGCATTTTGTCCCGTGGTACAGGGAATATATGAACATTCCATAGTACGCAAGGGCTGGTCACTGAGGGATGTCACCAGGGAGTGGCTGCCAAGGGGACTCTGTACCATGGGTGACATTTGACCCTCATTGCTCAACCAAATTCCCACCCAACCCATGTTCCACTTCTTCAGTCCAGCTCTCTCCAATCTGGCTCCGAGGTGACCACAGCAGATCATGTCACAGGCCCTGCTAAAGTCTGGGCACACAACATCCCCTTCTATTCACTTCCACAGGGGTTCTGCAGTCCCTGCCTTATCCTGCCACTGCCTGGAATGGCTGCAGAAGGATTTGCCACATCCCCTTCCCTGCTAAGCCTGACAAGTCTGTGACTCTCTCTCCCAATTCCCCTCCCTAACCTGTTTGCAGGTCTGCCCTTCCCAGGTGCCCAGGACCCTCTGGGATGGCTCTGGCCTTTCCAAGGTCTTTGAGAGAAGTCTCACAGTGACACTGCCTAGCCTTCTCAACATCCCTGACACCAATCTCCTGCAGGTGAGGGCAGAGGCCAGTGCTGGGATTGGTGGCTGCAGGGCCTGGTGTGGAACAATTGCCCTGGGGCACCTTCCCAGGCTGTGCCTGAAACAAGGACACAGCCCAGGCCCTGCTCTGCTGCTCCCTCAGGTCCATCCCAGGAGCTCTGACTGTGCCGGGACACTGCTGTATGCCCCCAAGCATACTCCCCCTCTGCCCCAGGCACTGGGCTTTGCTGTGCCAGGGCATTCCTGGGACACATTCCTGACAGCAGCTCTGGAGAGAGTGCAAAGCATTCCTGCCCTGCCCTCAGGAGATGCCGTTTGCTGGTGGAGCTGCTGTGCTGGAGCCCAGCTGTGTCCCAGCAGTGCCCATGGCCTGTCCCTGCCTGAGGGCACAGCACGGACACGCAGCAGGACAGTGACCAAGCTGCCAGAGCACTCTGGCCTGGCACCCACAGCAGGGCTGGGAAGGGGAGTGTGGAGCTGGGAAGAGCAGCTCTGAAAGGACCAAGTGCTGCTGCTCTGCTGGAACCCTTCCCTTTGTCCCCTATAACTTCATGCAGGTTTCAGAGTTGGGATCCCAGAAAAAGAAGGCACTGCAAGGTCATTTATTTTGTTCAAACATAGAAATAATACAAATCCTGGTTTACAGAGCTTCTGGATCAAATTCAAGAGGCAGACAAAGAATTAGGCGAGGGATGAATTAAAACATTTAATTGAGCACAAAATTATGGCAAGAAGAACCCATAGCCACCACCAAAGACCTGAGAAGGCAGACTGGGCAAGTAATGAGTTCCATTCTGAAAACTATGCAGCAGAAAAAAAACACTTGTTTGCTTCTGAAAAGTATCCAGTCATCATTTTCCTCAGGGCATCCTTGAGCTCCTGGTTCCTCAGGCTGTAGATGAGGGGGTTCAGGACTGGAGGCACCACCGAGTACAGAATTGACAAGGCCAGATCCAGGGATGGGGAGGAGATAGAGGGAGGCTTCAGGTAGGAAAATACTGCAGTGCTGAGGAACAGGGAGAGCACGGCCAAGTGAGGGAGGCAGGTGGAAAAGGCTTTGTGCCGTCCCTGCTCAGAGGGGATCCTCAGCACAGCCCTGAAGATTTGCACGTAGGAGAAAACAATGAACACAAAACAACCAAATAACAGAAAAGCACAAACTATGAGAAGCCCAAGTTCCCTGAGATAGGAATTGGAGCACGCGAGCTTGAGGATCTGGGGGATTTCACAGAAGAACTGGTCCAGGACATTGCCATGGCACAGAGGCAGGGAAAATGTATTGGCTGTGTGCATGACAGCGTAGAGAAAGCCACTGGCCCAGGCAGCTGCTGCCATGTGGGCACAAGCTCTGCTGCCCAGGAGGGTCTCGTAGTGCAGGGGTTTGCAGATGGACACGTAGCGATCATATGACATGATGGTGAGAAGGGCAAGCTCTGATCCAGAGAAAAAGAAAATCAGAAAAACCTGTGCAGCACATCCTTTGTAGGAGATGGTGGTGGTGTCCCAGAGGGAATTGTGCATGGCTTTGGGGACAGTGGTGCTTATGAAGCCTATGTCAAGAACAGAGAGGTTGAGCAGGAAGAAGAACATGGGCGTGTGCAGGTGGTGGCCGCAGGCTACGGCGCTGATGATGAGGCCGTTGCCCAGGAGGGCAGCCAGGGAGATGCCCAGCAAGAGGCAGAAGTGCAGGAGCTGCAGCTGCCGCGTGTCTGCCAATGCCAGCAGGAAGAAGTGGCTCTGTTCAAGGAGGAGACAGTGACAAGTCAAGGGAGATTTTGCTGATCAGTGTCCAAGCCCTGTCTCCCAGCCCTGCCCCTGCTGCTCTGTGCCACCCAATTTTCCTTTTCTCAGAGCCTTTCCTTCAGCCCCTGGAGCTCTGCTGGGATCTGGCCCTGTTTCTATGATGAGCAGGGGCTCTGCCCATGGACGCTGAGGAGTCAGCTCTGCTTCTCAGCAGTGGGGTCATGGGAATGGGGACAGGGGCCAGTCCTTGGCTTGGACTTCATCAGCCCAAACTGCTCCTGAAGCAGAGGAGCTCAGCAGCATCTCCTGTCCAAGGGCTAAGGAACAGTGGCAGCCAAAGGCAGTTTGAGAGGGTTTCCTGCTGTGCCCAGGGAGGTCAGAGAGAACTGAGCAATGCAAGAGCAGTGGCTGTAACTAAGTGAAGGGTGAGGGGAGCTGCTCTGTCGCTCCATCTGTCCCCAGCTGCCCTTTCTGAGACCCAGAGCAGTCCCTGTGCTCCCCTGAAAATCAGCCTGACAGAGCTGAGAGCAGAGGGATCCACAGCATTCGGGAATGAGCTGGGCGTGAGCTGGAGCTCTCAGCAGCCCTGGCCCACACAGCACCCTCTCCACAGCAGCAGGACCTGCCCTGGCAGGAGTCACTCCTTGCCCCCACAGCTCCCCTGCACTTTCCATGGTGAGCTGCCAGGCAGGCTGAGAGCTGCCCCTGGCAGGTGGCACATCCCCTGGGCTGGCCAAGAGCCCTGAGGGCTGCAGGACCTGCTCTGCAGGACAGCCCTGGCAGCCCTGGCTGCAGCCCCAGCGTCACCCTCTGCAGCCATCCTTGGCAGCAGAAGCCATCCTGCCCTGTCCCTCTGAGGGTGCCCAGGGCAGCCCCGTTCTGCAGCACATCATCCCCCAAAGCAGAAACTGCAGCAGAGCCATCCTTACAGTCCTGTCAGTCCTGTCCTGGGTCAGCCTCAGGAGATCCCTGCAACCAGAGACTGACTGTGTCAAAAGCTGTGAAGATTTCTCCATGAATGAGATCAAAATTGTCCTTCCAGCTGCTTTGAGCCTCTGTCTGCTTCACTGCTCTCAGGTACCTGCAGGCAGTGTCCTCAGCCCTGCTGGGCTGGGAGAGAAGCTGCTCCTCAGGAGAAATGTCTTTTTGAAGGTCCTCTTGGTTTCCAAGTGCTGCTTCTGTGCCAGGAGCCCAGCCCAGCTCAGCAGCACACACACACACAGCACAAGGACTTTAATTACTCTCTTGGGGATTTGGTGTTGTTTACATGAGACCCAGTCCCCGAGAGTGTTCAAAGAACTTCACAAGAACTACTAGTTAAATTTAAACTCCAAAGCTTCTTGAAGTTTTAATGGGTCCCACTGAGGGACATGACTGAGAAAGTTCTCACCAGGTAGAGCAGAACACTGGAGGCAGTGATGACAGCTGGGGACAAGCAAGAGAAAGGTGTCTCTAATGCTGAGCAAACCTGCGCCTCTGTCCCTGCAGGCTGTCGTCATCCCCCGGCTGGCCCACCTGGCTGACCCTGTCCTTTGGTGACAGCTCTGCCTCCTGCCTGCCTCTGCCTGCCCACACAAAGCCTTGGGCTGCTCCAGGCTCCTTCTGGGAGATGTGTTGCACCACAGCCCTGCCCTGGGAGGGGAAATCCTTTCTCCTGGTGTCCAGTCTGGACCTCCCCAGCTGCCCTTTGCATTAATCTTTTCTTTCTCTGGTGGTTCTCTACCATGTCAAAAGGATCCACCATCTCTGAAACCACCCTGCAGTCCTTCCCAGGGCTCTCCTCTGCTGTCCTCAGTCCCCACCCCACTGAGCACAGAGCTAGTTTGTCCTTATAGAGTAGTCAAGTGCTTGAGGCCAAGAGCACCCAGACAAGAGGGACAGTTCTTTTCTATAGGAAGGAAACCGCAGAACCCCAGGATTTTGAAGGCAGACGAGAAGCAGTCACTAGAGGCCAAGGCAAGCCAGACCTCTCTGACCTTGCAGCTTTTGTCTGAAGGCAGACTTTGGATATTTGGGGAGTTTTGAGGGTGGAATTCCATTTCAGCCATGGGTTCCTGGACTGGAATGACAATTCTCCATAGGAAGGAAAGGATGGAGCCCCAGTGTTTCAAAGGCTGATTAGAGTCGGCCAGACGTTGTCAGGGAAGAATCCTTGGATAGACAGAATTTGTGAGGCCAAACCCCTCTTTTGTCTGTGGGCATCTGGATGAGAAGGACAATTCTTTTCCATAGGAAGGAAAGTACAGAGCCACAGAGTTTCAAAGGCAGATGAGAGCAGGCCCTCAGGAAGCCAAGGGAACCTGGACAACCCTGGCAGCTTTTGTCTGGGAACTATCCTTGAATATAAAGTATTTTGGAGGTGGATTATGAATTTTGGCCATGGATGCCTGGACTTGAAAGACCTTTTTTTCCATGGGAAGAAAAGCACAGCCCCCCCAGTGTTTTGAAGGCAGATGAGAGGTGGCTCCCAAAGAGGCCAAGGTCAACCAGAGCTGTCTGTCCTGGCAGGTTTCATATGGGATTAATCCTTGGATATAATCACATTTCAAGGAGGAATCCCAATTTCGGCCATGAACCCCTGGAGGAGAAGGGCAGCTCTTTCCCACAGGAAGGAAAGTACAGAACTCCAGGGCTTCAGGGGCTGAGGAGAAGTGTTCCTCAACATGCCAAGGTCAGCTGTGCCAGTCAGGCAACCCCCAGGAGACCCAGCCAACCAGACCTCTTCCATCTTCTTGGATCCTTAGCGCCCTGCAGCATTACAATGGCCCCTTGTTTCCATGAGGCCGTGTGGGATCACAACAGATCTTTGTTTCCATGAGGCCCAGTTGAAGAAAGTGAGGCAAGGAGACCTGCTCCTTTTAAATACCTTTGTTAAGTGATCAGCTCTGGGTGGGGGCCTGAGGGGTCACACACACCGCTGCTGCTCCCTTTGGAGATGCAGAGAAGGAGATGGACCGTTTTGCTTCACAGCAGAACTGGGGCTTCCATCCTCACAGGCATGCCTAGGAAGACAATTTTTGGCTCGTAGTCTAGGATCCTCATTCTGACTCTGTTCTAGTCAGGTCACGGTGGCCTCTGAAACCTTGCTGGTGGAGTAGGAGAACTTCTTGCTAGTAGGACCCTTTGTTTAGTTCCTTAAATCTTCAGTTAGTTTGTCATTTTTAGGGTCTTTTGTTGGATCTTCTTGAGTGTCTCTTAATTTGCATATTTCCTAAAGATGTTTCCCGGTGCCATTTTGGGGAGCAGTGAAGGCAGTACCCGATAAGTGTATCAGTAAGGTAAGGGGATTAACAGTGGGGAGTAACTTAAAGGTTTAACACAATTAACTTATTATAATTAAAATTAACAGCTCGAATTGTGTTAACTTATGAACTTGTTCATAACAACTCCCCCCTCTATTCCTTTGATCGGGCTGAAGTCCGCATCAATTTGCTGTTTCTAGCTCTTGGAAATAAAATTTCCTGAGTTTTTGGTATTTATTGTATATTTCTTTGGCAATCTTGTGGTTTTGTTACTGGCTTTCCACTAGCATTACTTTTCCTTGCCTCTGATTACTCACTTCGGGAAGTTGAATACTTGCTCAGACTGCAGAAGTTAATATTCAGACTAAACAGGGGAACAGACAAGGTAGAAACAACAATCAAACAGACAGTTATAAACACAGCCTTTTTCCACCACATTCCTTTAAAGGACCAGAACTCGTTCCACCATTTGCTATTTATTAAAGGTGTCCACTCTTGATTTCCTACATAAGCCAATTTGCAGATTTCCTTAGAGATGTTTTTGATTACTGCACTTTTATCATCAATTTCCAAGCAGCACTCAGAGGAGTTGAATTTTCCACACATCCCCCTTCATCTGCCAATAGGTAATCTACGCCAAGTCATATTTGATAAATTACTGTTCTCATTTGGGACAATTGGTCACTTATATGCTCAAATGCTAGTGTTTCTATTTGAAACTTTTTCAAGTACTGCTTGGAGCCTGATTATTCTATTTAACATATAGATAGGGGTACGGTAGCCCCAAGATCCATCTCGAGCCCATGTGGCTGGCTCATATGTTTGGATGATTTCTTCTGGAGTCCACACTTTGCTCTTCCGTACTTGTGTACCTTCCATGTCAATTACATCTTTTTTCCTTCTATTGACTTTCCTTAAATCATCATATACTGGACCTCCTAGGTGTAGGTAGTAGGAAAAAGGCTGGTTTGATGATCCCTATGGTACAACTCCCAGTCCAGTCTCCGGGTAGCTTTGTATAAGCTTTGTCCCCACAGATCCAAAACAAATACTCTGGAGCTTGCCAGAACCCATCTCTGGTTTCATCTGGGAACTCCCAAAATTTTGACAGTTCTCTGATCACCCAGAAGGGGTTCATTCTTTTTCCTGTACATTTATACAACTTATATCCTTCATGATATATACATCCTTTTTCGGTTTGTCCAACAGCCCAATACGTATTGGATTCCTTTGGGACCCATATGGTATCTAGATTTTTTATTATCAAATACCTTTTACATGTCATTTTTCCTACAGTGGTGTTGTATCTTCTCCCCACCCTTAGTATGCATTCTTCACCCGTTACTTTTGATTTTAGGTTCCATTTTTCTTTTCCTCTGGATGTCAAAGATTGGTATTCTAATTTTGTTTGTTTCCATCTTAAAATTTTTAGTGGGCTTAGACTAATTCCTTCCCATGGCCATATTTCTGTCATTTGGGTACTTCCGAAGACCCAACATTTGGTTAAGTTCAACTCTTTGCTTATCTTTTCCACTAGGTCTATAATTTTTTTCCCAAGTGGATGTCAGGACTATCTCCTTCTCTCGCCAGCTGATTTTCTTTTACCAGGTCTTTTAACCCTTCGTGTTCAAAACAAAACCAGGATTCTCCTACTGGACATTCCCTAAGCAGGTGCTGCCTATAAGAGGCTGTATTCCTGGTAGTCCAATATACCTTCCCGTCTTCTCGATAGGTGATTAATTGAGAGTGATT